ATATATATATATATATATAAAATATATATTTTAATAAAATATTATATATATATATATAATATAATAATATATATATATTTTCGTGCCGAATAGGCAAACTTGCGATCTTGCTTAAAATAGCAACGCTCAACTTGCCATATAGGACAAGTGAAAATTTGTGTATCAGTAATTTCGCCAAAATCATTTTGAACCTAACGAAAAAAATATATTTCACTGTGTTTTGTTTAGATTAAAATTTTTGTAAACAAATCTAAAATATATTTAGTTTGGGTTAGGCTAAATAAATTGTTCTTGTTATAATAAGGTTAGGTAATTTTTCTAAAAATTCTACTGAAGCCAAATTGAAAATTTTTACATTAACATTAAAGAAAAAAAAATATCTTTAAACATACAAGTGAAAATTTTATAAAGGCTTAATTTTAAAAAGAGTTCTTGCTAATTGGCCAGTTTTACATATTCGGCACGACAATATAATAAAATATATATATATATATATATATATATAATATATATAATATATATATATATATATATATATATATATATATATAAAATATATTAATATATATAAATATATATATATAAAATAATATATATATATATATAAAATATATATATATATAAAAATTTTCCAATGGCTAATATTTAGTTTTTTATGAGAGTTTTGGCTGGAGTGAGGCTATTGGTTCCTCTTAGGTCAACCCAGATCAATAAAGGCTGAGTTATGGTTCACTGACTCTAAAATTAATTAAGTTATCTTACAACATCTGTGACAAAGAGTATCTTATCACTAAGAGCATGATTAGTCAGAGATCGGATGGTGACTACCAAAGAGTCTTTGCTAGTCACCGTCCGGTCTCAGACATTCCTTGTATTGTTTGACCCACCGAAACTTAGTTTTCCGTGACACAGTCTTATGTAAATCTCCACAATTTTCCTAAAAATGAAGAATATCGGCTGTATTTTTTAATTTGCAAAAGTAACATTTAGGTTTTATGGGAAGGTAAATGTTTGACAAGTTGTGTTACAAAGATCGTCTTCTTGTGGTGTACCAGAACTGCTCTTGTTACTTCAAGAAAATATGCTCTCCCCTTCAAGCAGTTTTCATGTCTTTGTTATTATGTTAAAAACGATGCGTCATAAATTGTCTTAACCAAAATTTTTCCAGAATAACGTGCAAAGATAAGATGGTTAAGAACGTCGGAAAATTAATGGTTTACTCAAAGTGGCGATGCTATTTTACCCACGTTCTCTAGATACATTGAAAGTTGACGTTTACCTCTGGAAGACAGGCTAGTATTCCACCAGCATCATGTGGCTCTCAGCTTGGGTGAACGCCATCCATGTGTCACTCAGCTGTTTACATGTTGTGAGGAAGCATGTGCATGCAAATTATTTGACATACAATTTGTCTAGGTGCACGTACATACCATACAAGATAATGCTACCAAACGTGATGCGGCGAGCGAGTGTGAGTTCGTCCATGGCAGCAACACAAGCGTCTCACCCAGCCTCCTCATCCTCCCTTCTTCCTCATTTAGCTCACATCTTACACGTCATCCGCCATGAGGGAGGAATTGTATAGTCGTCAGTCTTTTGACTCCACTTGCGTTATGCAGACACGATACAACTGCGCTATTAACTTTATAGCAGTCAGTCTTAACTGGGTCACTTATCAAATGTTTGGATGTGATAGCTCTCAGTGCTGCCCTCAATAATTTTTATAATAAAAAGTCAACTCAGATGCATTATTCGGTCAAAAGCCTCTACATTCTGGTTTACATTAAGAAAAGCTACATTGCATCGTGAATGCTGTGGGGATAATGTAAAAAAAAAAAAAAAAAAGTGATTTCGAGCAACAGTGGGACATATCACTGTGTTGATGTGTTTTAATCAGTGGTACAGTGGTAACTTGTCTGTCTTGTCTCCAGGGGGGAGAAGTTGAGTGACTGAGACATAATTCCTCCATGATCATGTTATACAAACATATTAATATATTAGTTCCTTTAACTGCAATTTTATCACTAAAATTTAAGTCTCGAATGCCGACGGATTTGATACATTTTTTCAAGCTGCTACAAGCAATAAATCGCAAATTGCTGGGAAGTTACAACACTACAGCTGCCATGCAAGTTGTGACGTGCGGATGAGCTGGGAGAGGAAGTGGATGGACTCAAACCTCGATTTCTCAGAGTCTGATTGACTTATGTTTGACTAAGATGAAAACCACGATGATCGGGCATTAGGATGGTCCAGTTTATTAAAGACGAAAAATCAATTTTAGAATTTCTACTATTCCTGCCCCTCAATTTGTTACACTTCATGAGAAAATCATATCGACAAAATTTGTACCTATTCGAATAATGTTTATGGGTGGCTCTCTAAGGTCAAAGTTAACACAGGACGACCCGTGGGTCCTCCCCATCTAGGATGATATTACCTGCTCAGGGAGGAGGTAGTGTAGCTGGTCACACTACTCGTTGTTGCTAATTTGTCAGAGAATTCTTCGTGGCTTTTGAAAATTTCTTTTTGTCGTGGTCGACAAATTGCAATACGTATTGGAGTTGCTCTTCTTCTTGAGGTGCTTTCCGCTTCCCTCTGATTCTCTGAATTAGAGCATCCCCACGTTCGTCAGTGTCGGTGACGACCTTAATGCTTCCCACCTCCGGGACAGCCTTTTGGAAATCCTCGTCGGAGTTAGAAGTCGGCAGATCTGTTCGCAGGAACACGAAGATATTCTTAAGGGCCTTGAGAAGCTTGACGGAGTTCGTCGAGGCTAATGAATCCAGCGTTGAAGGAGACCTTGTGGAAGGGCTTCCCTCTCTTCTGTTGTCTTGAAAATTACCTTTTAACTGTCAGTAGAAACTGAAGAATTAAACACCGCCAACCCACCATTTCCTCCGACAAGTACCACAAGTGGGCTTTTGCGTTTTCTTGTGCTACGATCAGTGCCCGATCAGCCGAGCTGTGGTTCATGCGTTGGATTGCATGCTGCCGGTAGTAACAGCCTGAATAATCAGACCCTAATCCACCTAAAGACCTGGTCAAGGACCGGGCCGCAGGAGCGTTAACCCCCCCTCCCGAACAACCCAGAAAGACTCCAAGTAGGTAGATAAAGTTTTTAAAGGAGCTGCAGATGGTTAAATGGCGCTGCTGCAAAGATCTGAGCTGTGATCTAGGCTTCCAGGTCGGTGGTCGCTGAAAACACGCTCACATCTTTTAGGCAAGTTTTCCCTGAGTGAGATTCTCCAACTGCTTCTGAAACATTTACATCTTCAGGCCGTACAAGACTTTCGCCAACTATCGTGCTTGATGTATTGCTCCTCAGCGCTTGTAACGGTACCCGGGAATCTTTATTGTTCCAGGGAAGAAGAGAACTCAATGAATTTTCGATAGATGTCTCGTTTTTTTCTGATTCCAGAGCCTTGTGTACCACCTAAAGCACTTCTTCTCGCACTAGAGACCCCAGTCATCATCACTTTCCTCACCTGGTGGCAGCAAGCAAAATAAAGGTTCCTTTTCAATGGCTACTGAAGGCAAACGCTTGCACCTAAGATCCATCCAGTGTTTGAGGCAGCCATATTGAAGCACATTCTGATGACGCATTGTTTCACATTCTTGGAGAACTGGGCAACAACAATTGCTTGCTTTTCAGCTGTTTTAATAGCAAGCTTTGGGGCTCCAAGCAGCTGACATTGCTCATTGGTGGTGATAACAATGACTGCAAGTCAGTCCGTCGGTCCATTGCTTTGACTGGACTCAGCTGATCCGGAATAAGCTTTTCATCCCAGTGGAAAATGAATAGAATCTTCTGAGTTTCAACCGTCAATGTTATTCCTAAGTTGCTGCGGAGATGCTAATGAATGTCGTTTGATAGAGAAACGACTAATGTCGAGTTTTTCTGGGTTGCGGCCAAGGCTCTTTGCCGTTCCTGTGATGACATACATTGCCATCGGATCATTCAGTTTTGAACGATTAAGTGATGCGGCAACATCGGCGAAGATCACATTCTGCATTCTCCTCTTCTATCTTTTTGGTGAATTATCACCACCTCCACACTCTCCGATTTCCTCCTCTCCCGAGAATTCTGATGCGGAAACGTTTTTGCTTTTGAAGATGCCGAAGCCTCACTTATCATTCTCAGCCTTTTTTTTTTTCTGCAGTTCTCGCTTTCCAGCCCAACCTTCCTGGCTTCCACTGAGCCAGCAAGAAAGGCTGATCCCCTTCGTTCTTCATGATGGATAGAATGCTCACAAAGGCTAGGTCAGACATGTTCGCAAGCCTTCTCCTGAATACCTCCTCTTTTTTTCTCTGCACTTGGTTGTTCTTGCTCTTTTATCTGGCAAAAATTTCCATTCCTTTTGGAGAGCGGAGATCTTGTCGATGGTGAATGCCAGAATTCCTTGTCGGAATCCTAGCTTTCACCCAAAACCTCTCAATATCTTCCCAACCATTTCCAGGCTTGTCTTCAACTCCTCTAGATCAATGTGGCTGTGGAAGAAAACACTAGACACTAGGCCAGAAGAAGGCAGCTTCAAGGAGCTAAAATCCGCGATTTTTCGCGGATTTTTTTACAAAAAAATATATACTGAAAAAAATAAGCAATTCTAATTAACGCACTGAAAGAAAAATGTCTATTATTCCAAGGAGAGAAGGATGAACAACGTCAAAAATGTTGATTTCTTTGCTAAAGTAATGAGCAAAGAATATTTTCTAGCCTCGACAGCCACCTTTAAATAATATCCAACCGGACTCATTTAACCAGTGTTATTTTCTCATGACGTGGAAAAACTTGAAGGGATTGGAACAGTAGAAATCTATATTTTATTTTTCGGACCACCCTATTGGTTGTTAATGCTCTTGGTAAACTAAGAGAACCAGGTGCATGGCGCAGGTATGTCCGAGAGTCTGACACAATGTTACTGCCAGGGTGGAGAGCTGTCACACTCACTGCGCCGTCAGCATGCTCGCTACAAAACCTGGAAACTCTCTAATATTACCTTCTATGTCCAAAGGGGCCACTGAGAATGAAGACAGAGAAAACAATTACTTCATGAGTGAAAAAAATGTCAAGAAACATGACGTTTTCTTAAAAATTTTACAAAATAGACATGTCGCTGTTACTTATACCTTACGTTCAACATCGTGCACGTTGCCTTCTTATTAATTAATTCTTCTAAAAATTAGAAACTGTTGCAAAACATGAAAATCTGCTTCTATAATAATAATTTTAAAACCTTATCTAAAAGCAAAATGAAAAAAGCATTTTGGTTAACTGTTACATGTTGCGGCAAGGTTTTCTTCTTCCCTTTGGTCACCGCCTCAAAAAATCACCTACAGACTATACACTCATTATTATCAAAACACGAAAGTTTAATAAACACTGGTCAATGAAACAAACGAATCTACATGGAGAAAATATATCAGAAGATAAGAAGAGTAATGTATATTTTGACTTCCCACTGAGGTCCTTTGCAGTAAGAGGCCGAAATATGCAGTACTCTTTTTTTTTATTTTATCCATGTGAGTGCGTGTGTGCGACTTATTGTTGTACGTTTGATGATGCTGGTGTACGAGGACTGCTTAGTAACAGATCAGATACAACCAGTACACCAGCAGACAACACAGGAGAGAGCTTACCTGCAGCCAGGACCAGAGGCGCCGCACACCACAACAAAGCCAGCGTCAGCCACGCTGGAACTGTCCGTCTAGGTGGACCCATCCTCACGTTGCTCACCACCACCTGAGTAACACAACACATTAAAAATAATAAATAAGAATTATAAAAAAATAACAACACGCTACGCAGGATTCTTGTCCATAGATTACACACAGTGGAACATAGAGTGCAGGAAGGGAATACTGTAGGTCACAGCAGCTGGTCATTATGAACAAGTGAAGGCAATGGTGATGCAGTCCAGAAAAATTAGTCTGACTCGAGATTCTTTTTTCTCTTTCAACAGCTGCTGATGGTTATATCAGATTATTGAACGCTGATTCTTTATGAAAATGAATATTTTGACAATTTATGTATTTACATGCTACGCAATCATCGTTCGTGATAGTTTGTTCTTATATGCTACACAGTCGTTCGTTGTGTTGGTTGTCACACAAACCTGTGTGTCTTAGTGCTTGTATCTTAGTGCTTGTATCTTAGTGCTTGTATCTTAGTGCTTGTATCTTAGTGCTTGTATCTTAGTGCTTGTATCTTAGTGCTTGTATCTTAGTACTTGTATCTTAGTGCTTGTATCTTAGTACTTGTATCTTAGTGCTTGTATCTTAGTGCTTGTATCTTAGTGCTTGTATCTTAGTGCTTGTATCTTAGTGCTTATATCTTAGTGCTTGTATCTTAGTACTTGTATCTTAGTGCTTGTATCTTAGTGCTTGTATCTTAGTGCTTGTATCTTAGTGCTTGTATCTTAGTGCTTGTATCTTAGTGCTTGTATCTTAGTGCTTGTATCTTAGTGCTTGTATCTTAGTACTTGTATCTTAGTGCTTGTATCTTAGTGCTTGTATCTTAGTGCTTGTATCTTAGTGCTTGTATCTTAGTGCTTGTATCTTACTGCTTGTATCTTAGTGCTTGTATCTTAGTGCTTGTATCTTAGTACTTGTATCTTAGTGCTTGTATCTTAGTGCTTGTATCTTAGTGCTTGTATCTTAGTGCTTGTATCTTAGTGCTTGTATCTTAGTGCTTGTATCTTAGTGCTTGTATCTTAGTGCTTGTATCTTAGTACTTGTATCTTAGTACTTTTATCTTAGTACTTGTATCTTAGTGCTTGTATCTTAGTGCTTGTATCTTAGTGCTTGTATCTTAGTGCTTGTATCTTAGTGCTTGTATCTTAGTGCTTGTATCTTAGTGCTTGTATCTTAGTGCTTGTATCTTAGTGCTTGTATCTTAGTGCTTGTATCTTAGGTTCCTCGACGTCTCGCTAACACGTACTGATTGAAATTTATCTAAAGGCAATCTTGCCAGTCCCAGTGGCATATTGTTCGCTGTTCTCTTGTGTTCGCACACACACATTTCCCAGTAGAGTTGCAAGCAATATGAACAAACATAATTTGCTTTACTGCCCTTCAAGGCTAAGCATCTGAATGCTGGTAGACGACTCTTAATCCAAAAAAAATATGGAACAAAACAATATGTCTTGGAGGGCATGTAAATCTTAAGTGGAAGGTAGAGGGGTAGGGGTTATCCTAGAAAAGTTGAAGGGAGGGGATAAAGGTTTTGCGTGCCAGGGGCTTGAACTTCCAGCAAGCGTGCGTGAGCGTGTTATATAGAAGCTAGTGTAGACGAATGGTTTCTATGACTTGACGTGCTGTTGGAGTGTGATTAAAGCAATATTTATGAAGGCTTCAAGGAAATCGGTTAGCCAGACTTGAGTCCTGGAGGTGTGAAGTGCAGTGCCTGCGCTTTGTTGATATGTTACAGTTTTATAACTGCAATGATGGAGTGAACTATGATGAATATTTTGTCTTTTTCAGGTCACCCTGATTTGGTGGGCAACGACCTATGTGTTAAAAATTTTTATTAAAATTTTTATTATTATTTTTTAATTAATTTTTTTTTTAAATTATTAAATTAAGGGAAAAATTTTTAATTTAATTTTTAAATAAAAATTAATAAATTTTTTATTAAAGAGATTTTAAGGGAAGATTTTTTAAAAAAAAATTAATTTAAATTTTTATTAAAAATTATTAAATTTTTTTGGAAAATTAACCTGGAAGGGTATCTTTTTGGAGAAAGTTTCCTAAAAGTTCCTAGAGAAAGAGAACGGGAAGAATATGGAAAATGAGAAATCCGGGGGTTAACCTGGAAAAGGAGATAATGGAATATTGGGAAGAGTATACCTTTTCCCCAAAAATGTAACCAAATTTCGAAATTTTAAAAAAATTTTTAAAATTAAATTTTTAATTTTTTTAAATTCATCTTTTAAAAATTTTTTATTATTATTATAATTTTTTAAAATTAAATTATTTTATTAATTTTTTTTTAAATTATTATTATTTTATTATTTTATTTTTATTATTTTATTATTATTATTATATTATTATTTTTATTAAAATTTAAATTTTATTATTTTAATATTTTTTAAAATTTTTTTAAAAATTAAATTATTTTAAAAAAAAATTATTTTAAGTATCGTAAGTTAACTTTTTGAAAAATAAGATAAAATTAAAAATTTTAAATTAAAAATTTTTAAAAAAAATAAAAAAAAAAATTTAAAAATTTTTTAAAAAATTTGTAGTGGAATTAAAAATTTGGGAAAAAAAGGGGTAGTTTGAGCTTGTTTGTTATTCATTTGGGGTTTTGTTTGAAATTTTGTCCTGGAATTCCCGGGATTCCTATGGAGGTATTATAGAGGGGTGGGGCCGGAGGAGTTTTTTGGGAATTTCCCCTGGGGGTTTTAAAAAGGGAAGGTAAAATGGAGGATTTAAAATGGATGAGGTTAGGGGAGGGTTTAGTGAGTTCCAGGGGGTATCCTAGGTTAAAGGGAGGAATTTGGAAAAGTGGGTAGTTAGAGGGAAATTATGGGGGTGTCCCGGGGAGGTTATGGGGAGTTATGGTGAAGAGTATTGGGAGTTGAGGAGTTTTTGGGTAGTTTAGGGTTTTAAAACCTAAGGAGGTCCTGGGGGGTTTAGGTTAAAATTGGGGAGGAAGTATTAGGAGGAAAATGGAGGGTTTGGGGAGTTTGTTAATGGAGAGGAAAATTGAGGTTACCGGGAGGAGTTTAGGGAGTTTAGGGAAAAATTTAAGAGTTATGGGTGTATGGGTTGTATTATGTTGGGTTACCGGAGGGTAAATGGAGGAGTTATGGGAAGTTCCCGGGAGGTTATGAAGGAGTTTGGGAGGAGAAACCTGGGAGGTTAGGGGAGGGGAGTTTTGGGAAGGTTACCTAGGGGAAAATTGGTATTAAAATGGAGGAGTTTATGGGGAAGTTCCTGGGGTTAGGGGAGGGTTTGGGAGGTTACCTGGGGGTTTTGGGAGGGTTTTGAAGGGTTTGGGAGGGAAAAAATAGGGGAAGGCCCTTTGGGTGTTCCAGGGAGGTATTGAAGGATTTAAAATGGGGAGTTAGGGAGGGATTTATATGGAGGGAGTTCCTGGGGAGTTATGGGAGGTAGGGTTGGGGGAAAAGGGGGTATTGAGGGTATTAGGGATTTAACCTTAGGTTTGGGGAAAAAGAGTTTATGGTAGGAGTTTTTTGTAGGAAAAAGGAGGTTGGGGGAAAAAATGGGGGTTTGGAAGGTTACCTGGAGGAGTTATGGTGGGTTTTAAAATGGAGCTTTCCGGGGAGGGTATCCAGGAGGTTGGGGTTTGGTTAGTTAAATGGGAGGTATTGGGGAGGATTTAATTGAAAATGCCAATGAAAGGAGATTTTAATTTTAATATTAAAAAATTATTATTATTTTTTAATTTTAAAATAAAATTTTTATTATTAATTTATAAATTTTTTTTTTTAATTATTTTTTAAATTTTTTAAAAAGATCTTAATTATTTTTAATAATTTTTTTTATTTTTTATTTAAATATTTTTATTATTTTTTATATTAATTTTTAAATTTTATTTTTTAAAAAAATGAAAAATTGCAAAAGTTAGTTTTTAAAGATTTTAGAAGTTTTTATTGTGTTAAAACCCCGATAAGTTTTTTTTTATTTGGGTAGTGTGGTTGTTGTAGTGGGAAATGGGGGGTGAAGTGTGTGTGTAGTTTTGTATATTTGGGGGTTTTTTGGGGGAAGTTGTTGTGTGATTTAGTGTTGGGTTTGGGTAGGTGGGGTGTATTTGTGTACGTTTTAAGTGTGATTTAGTGATGGGGAAAGGTAGTGGGTTTATTTTTTAAAGGGTAGTGTGTAGCTTTTGTGTAGTTTAGTTTTGTAGTGGGTTGTATGTGTTAAGTGAAAGGGGTTTGTTGTGTTTGTTAGGGGTAAAAGTGTATTGTGTAGGTTATTGTAGTGTTTTTGGGAGTTTGAGTGTTTTTGGGGAGTTGTTGTATTTGGTTTTAGTGTTTGTGTAGTGTTGTTTAGGGGTAGTGTAGTGTGTAGGTGTGTTTTTGTAGGGTGGTAAGTGGGTATTTGTAGGGTAGTGTTTGGTAGTGTAGGTTTGTTTTGAGAAATGAAAGGGTGTATTTATTTTTATTTATTTGGGGCAAGGGTTGTAGTGGTAGTTAGGGGTGTAGTGTAGTGGTAGATTAGTGTTGGAAAGTGAAGTGTAGTGTTTTTGTATTTGATTTTGTCAAAGTTGGTGTGTTTTTTTGGGGGAGCAATTATTTATTTTATTTTGGGAAGTGTGTGAGGTATTCATTTGGTGGGGAGTGTTGTGTAGGGTGTGTAGCTGTGAAGTTTTTTATTGGGTGTAGCTAGTGTAGTGGTAGGCAGTGTAGTGTTTTTTTTTTTGGGTAGTGAAGTTTTGGGGGTGGTTTGTGGGCTTTAGTTTTGTGGTGTAGTTTTAGTGTTTTGTTTTAGTGTTGGTAGTGTATTTAAGTGTTTGAGTATGTTTTTTAGTGTAGTGTGTGGGCGTTGTAGTGTATTTGGTTTAGTGTAGTTTTGTGTGTAGTTAGTGGGGTGTCGTGAAAGTGTTTGTAGTTGTAGTGAAAGTGGTTTAGGTTGGGGTTTTAGTAGTGTGTTGGTAGGGTTTTTTTTTTTTTTTTTTTTTTATTTTTTTTTTTTTTTTTTTTTAGTGGGGGAAAAGTGTAGTGTTTTTAGTGTTGGTAGGTTTTAGGGGTGGGGTGTGTGTGTATGGGGCG